AGCTACTGCTTCCCAACATTATTCTTTCCTGGGTTTGGCACATACCCGGATACTATCAATTGTCCACCCTAATAGGAAATATTCTGTCTTTATATATTTACATAATACATACCAATCATAGCTTATATGTATTATTATTGGTTATACTAGGTCAACAATGCTTAGCATTAAGCAATCATAGCTTCTATGTATTATTATCGGTTAACAATGTGTTATTACTGGTTATACTAGGTCAATCTTTTAGAACATTATAAAAGCCAGGAATTAAAAGTAATAATGCTGTGCCAGTCTGCATAAAGCATGACAATACTGAAGCAAACATATCTCACCCTCATATTATACCAATTAAAACTTAATGAAAAACTTACCAAAACAAACCCAAACCTGACAATAACACCTCAGTGGCAATGGGTTTAAGTTTATGCAGCAATTTTAATCTTAGTTCTCCTTCAAAAATATTCATTACTGATGATTTTGCTATCAAGCTTTGAACCAATCTTAGAATCCTTCTAAGATGGCACAGCAAGTGGTTAAGAAAAGCCAAGAAAACCCCCAACCAACCAAAACAAGCCTAAACCATACTACATGATCTATTAACAGTGCTTGCTCACCTCCACCCTCCACTGCCACTCTAGCTGAAGGGGATACAAATGTAGATTACACGAAAGTAATTTGTAATTCTTAAATTATATTAAAGATCAAAATGTTCTTCTTTCCTGGAACTGAAATCTAAGTTAAATTGCACTTTAGAATAGGAAGAACATCTTTTCAAACCCTGTTCAAGCTTCCCAATAAACTGTGAGAGGAAAAAAATCAAATAAAAAATTTCTGCCTAGAACTTGTTAATTTAAGATGCAATATAGTGTGTGACAGAGCAAGGAGTACAGTTGAACTACCCTGTCATTACTTTTCATACTTGTGACACAAAAAGCAGGTTAAAAAAATAAAGCATATTTACAGGGCTTCCCAAGACTGTTTAAAAGAACACAAAAATCTTCTACCTAGACAAGTTTCAGCCACCAGAATGGCAAGCATTATGTGCCTTGGAATTGCCCTGAAATTCCTCTAGCATGCATCAGTGGTTGGTAGGGCTCCTGAAAACAGTCTTTACTAACTTCACTTTCTGAATTCAGCTGAACTGGGCCTCTTCATCTGACTAAGCAAAACTACTGAGGAAGGCATGTCTTGAAAATGTGTAAATCATTCTTAAGTGCACAGTTTGGGGGTTTGCTCTGACTTGAAAGAACCCAAATTTCAAAATCCCTCAAACCAAAAATTTCAGACTTCAAAATGACCTGTCTCTTATAACATAAAGGTTACAAAAGCAAGTGTTTTGCACATTCACCACTTTGTGGCTTGGTGAAAGAGAAAGATGAAAAGTAAGTAGTACAGAGGTTTTGCATGAACTCTGCGAAGGAGGGAAATCATTCACTTGCATGTTCAGACACAGTGCAACCAAAGTAAATGGCACTGTTACAAAAAACAGTATGGGGTTGTGAAGAAGATCACAGAAATACTTGGTACCAACAGGCAAAAAATCTCCACATTATCTCTTTTATATTATTACATTTAAATTCCCAACCTACACAATCTATCAAAGCACATTTTTCTCTTATTTTGTTTCATGTCCTCAGTTGACAGAGATGTCTAGAAAGCAATCCTTGGTCCTCACATGGGGAAAGCTTGGGAGGTGTGCTGTGCACCTCTCTGATTACAATTATCCATGTCCACATCATGCATCCTCTGTGACTATGCTGTATTTTGCTGTGGGGTGGCAGTGACTTTGGCAGCCACCTGCATTGCTGGATCATTTCCTGCTACTAGGAACTGTACAAAGGCATCAGATGAATCTCTCTGTGGTCTTAAAGGAAACTGCACAGAAGTATACTTACCTTCAAAAATTCTTTGCAATTGGTTGTTGTGCTCAGGGAATCCTTCTGTGCAGTTCTCACAGAGGAAGAGTTCCTAATTTCACTCTGATACTTAAGAGGTTTTATGAAAAGCCGAACTAAATTCACAGCATGGGACTACTCCAGGGACAGTGAAATACGAATTCAATGATTAACACCACTGAAAAAGAGTTTCTGCCAGCTGGTCCAGGTCATTAGTCTCACATCTTGGGATAATTCACAGATGGCCGTATCTCAAGGGCAGTATTTTATTTATGAAGGGGAATAGCAATAGCCTTAGGGGAAAACACATAATACAAGCAAAGGAGTGAAAGATAAAACATGTAATACAGGCAAAGTAGTGAAGGATGGTCATGCTTGCACACAACAGCAACAGGTACACAGGAAAAACAGAAAATTAAATATACAGGAAATGTTCTCATGGAAGAGGTATGAAGTATAAAGATTACACTGCAACACAGGAAAGGTGAAGTACCTTACTTGATTAGTAGACAGTAGGCATAAATATCTTCTCCTCAGTAAATCAAGTTTATAAAAAGCAAAATGATGTAAACAACAAACTCAGCTGTCATAGGTATGTCTGACACAGGCACCCCACAGTGTATATTTTAGGCAGCTTAAGGACACAGACTTGTACATTTAGCCTGCCATGTCTGCCATCTGTCAAGAAGATCAGGATGTCCAACTCCCTTTAGTGGGAAGTACACATTAAAATTCTTTTGGTAGGTTGGGGAAAAAAAAAAATCTCAGTCAAATTTATTGAAAGGGACAACAAAGAAGTTACCACAAGTAACCCTATCCCACACAGGGAAAGAGCAACACTTCATCACTAATAAAAGCACAGCTTTCCCTTGATGAGCAGGTTTACCCTTGAAAGGTGCCTGTCAGTGTGAATAAACATAGGTAGTGTGTGGAAATATAAACAAAAATTCAGCCTGCACAGCATTTTCACTACAATATGGGAAATGTTATTCACACAAAGCACTCGATATACTCAGAAATAATCTGCTCTTCTTATTACATGATGTTAACTCCTCTGCTATATGCCATAAAACTACGGCAGGGTAAAGTCTCCATTACTTCTTATCTTCAATAATCCTTGCTAGCATTCTTTCCAACTAACTGGAAACACCTAATATGTTCCAGACATGGAACACATATGTGAAACAAGGCAAGTATTAATTCCCTGTGCCATAAATTGATATCCTAGGAGGCAGGATGAAGTAAAACTAGCACATTTACTCTCTAAACTGCAACCTCATGTCCACACAGAAGGACTAAGTGATAGCATTCATTAAAAACAAAAACAAAAACAAAAAACAAGAGAGGAATAAAAGAAATCTGTGAATTAAGTTTTCAAGGAGCATTTGAACATACAGTCATGTAAAGACACTGATGAGCTTTTCCTCCTCTGGGTGCAGAACAGCATAAATTATTATGACAGCTTTAATCTAGGGATTAAGGCTAGTGTTTACTTATGCTAATACATAATTTTGTTCAAAGTGATACCACAGAATGTTTAAAAAAGGGGGAAGAGAGAAAAATCTTTCTGGGTCATTTTGGCCTTCCCTGATCTTGTTAGGATATGAAGCACTGTAGAAAAATTTCAAATGAGTATTAGTTGCAAAGAAGATTTTAATGACAGTACACCCTTGTTGTTTACTGTTCTCTTGAACAATTTCCTAAAAGTACCTGTTGAGACTTGAAATTAACAAGTGCTGTCAAAGCATATGCCTTATGATCACAATAGTAAGCGTTCAACGGACATCAACATTCACAGTCTCAACTTAAGCACATTTTGCAAAGTTTCCACATTTTCTGCTCCGGATGTGAAAACTTTGCAATTGCACATGGTTCAAACAAAAACTACACATATGTAGCATCAAACAGAAACTAAAACATCACTTCAATGCAGTTGATTCTAAGTCAAACTCAGACTTGTCTATACCTGAACAGGCATTCACCCTTCACAAGAAACATTGAGAAAAGTTTTCCCAGCCTTCACTCAGCCTTCAAACAACTCTCCACTTTCAACAAATACACCATAATGAACAAACTTCCCAAAGATTACCACACCAAATAGAAAAAAAAACACTTGGAATAACAAAACCAAAACTTGACAATATATCTGCAGAGGCACAAGAGATGCTGTCCAAGACAGAAGCAAGACAACCAGTCAGGAGTATGCTTATATTTCCCAGAATATAATGAATGTACCAAATGGCCTCATGGAAAAATCATGGGTGAGACAACTAATACACAGATGAATGAAGATACATAGATAATTTTCAATCCCGATATTCCAAAGAGACCTACAAAGTATTTTCAACAACTCAGCAAACTAATCACATAACTCAACCACATACCAAAAATCCCAGGCTGACTGCAACTGTTTGTTCTACGATACTTACCATTTTCCCTACGTCCTCGACACCCTCCTTCTCCTTCCCCTACCCCACATGCTTCATAGGTGATAAGTATCTTAAAACCTCTACTCTTGCTACCAAACTGCTATCCTTGCTCCACTGGAACCAACATTGTTTTCTCTCAAATGGTCTTAACAGCACAATGAAGTTAAAACTCTGACAAATGAGTTTCAAGATACATTTTTTGGCTGCTTTTGTTTCCAACCTACAAAACTACTTGTGCCTAACAGCTTTGTAAGTTTTCCTCCATCCATATTTTGGTGAAGATAAGCATTCCCTATAGATGTAGGCTAGTTTAAAAGCACTATTTGAGATCATAAACAAGAGACTGCAGAAGCAGGCTACTCTAATTTACAGAGCAAAATATAAAACTATAATGGTTTGTTATAAAATTCCTACTTCCTTCTGCTTTGCTGAAGTTCTCTACACCCGCTACATAACATGAACAGAAAATTTTCCTCCCCTTTCTGCAAGCACCATCAGGAACATACATTTGAGGATAAGGTAATAGTCTTACAGTAACTATCAATAACATTAACGACACTTTGATGGTTTCTTGCAGTAAATTTTCGTAAAATACATTAGGCTTTGACAAACACACAAAAATTCCCACTTCATCAGACCTGAGATTGTGTTTTTCTTTCAGGCTTAAAGAAAAACTTACATCTTTTCCAAGGACTCTAAGCTCAAACTGTGTTTCCTTGAAGTGAACTTTTGTAATTCTAGGCCTGTAAAAAGACAGACAGAACTTTGTGAGTTTTTAATTTCATGAATAATAAAGTTGCATATATTTACAAACAGAGACAAAAAAATAATTCACAGGTAAATTTTTTTTTTCAGGTATGCACCACATAACAACAGAAAAACATTTTAACCGAAGTACGGTAAAGGTGAACTATTTTTTTCAATACCTGGATTATCAAAGAAATAAAAAATTGTATAATCCAGACAAATATTTGGAATTCCAAGTATACTTTTTTCTATTGATACAATTAACCTTTCAAATTTATACCACACATCATACATTTCCATATAACATCGTTATCGTTTTTAAATTATACATACCAGAAATATTTTCCTACTTGTTTTTTATTCTTGTAGACAACAACACCTATGGGTGTTAATCCTAAAAAATATTCAGATTTGTTTTCACCCTAGAAAATAAAAATGTATGTCACTCATACAGTTGCAAGCTGTACCACTGAAGCAGTGAGGTCTAGTGAGAAGTCAGCCGGACCATAAAATCATAGACTGGTTTGAGTCGGAAGGGACCTTAAAGACCACCTAGTTCCAAACCCCCTGCCATGGGCAGGGACACCTTCCACTAGACCAGGCTGTCCAAGTCCAAGCCCTGTCCAACCTGGCCTTGGAAACTGCCAGGGATGGGGCAGACACAATTTCCCTGAGCAACCTGGCAACTTCTTCCTAATGCCTAATCTAAACCTAGCCTCTGTCAGCTTAAAGCCATTCCCCTTGTCCTGTCACTACATACCCCCATAAAGAGTCCCTCTCCAGATTTCTTGCCAGCCCATTTAGGCGCTAGAAGCTGCTCTAAGGTGTCCCCAGAGCCTTCTCTTCTCCAGACTGAACAAGTCCAGCTCTGCCAGCCTCTCTCCAGAGCAGAGGTGCTCCAATCCTCAGGGCTTCTTCATGGCCTTCTCTGGACTTGCTCCAACAGCTCCACAACTCCTTAGCATTAGGGGCACCAGAGACGAATGCAGGACTCACCAGAGCAGAACAGAGGGGTAGGTGACTGACTTGAACATACTGTTTCTGCGTGCAAATGGGAATATAGCACTTGCTTTACTGACAAACATTCCTACATGAGAACTTGTAAGCATGGAGGCAAAGAGGCAAGAAAGAATGGCAGTGAGGGAAAGACTGTGAGACTCCATGTGCCATGGTGAAAAGCAAAAAAAGACTTAAGTTTTAAAAAGGAAATACATTGGGATATTTGGCAAATGGCCAAAACTCAGAAACTGAACTCTTTATTCAGACATGAATGCAACAGACATTTAATTTTCAGATGAAGGTGAATACTGATTTTCTGACCTATTCTACCATAATATAACCTCACAGTTGCCTTCTCCCTCCTAAAAAATTATCACCTGCATACTGCTACCAAGTGAAGTAAGTCCTCTGAGAAAGAGCATTTTTTTTTCAGAATGGGTAACAACATGCAAAGAACAGCTGCACACATCATCTCCATAAGAAACCATTCTTGGGATCAGTATTCAAATTGCAAACCATGTCAGGAGAGAACAGGGTGAATACCCCTGTGCTAGTGGCAGAAGGCCCCCATTTCCCCCGTTTATGGTCAGTAACAAAAATCAGATGTGCCCTACACTTGAAAGAGTGCAAACCTTACAGCATGAGTTTAGAAGAATGTCAGTTGCAAAAGCTTGTTCATCTGCCTATTTGAGGCAATGACAAAGAGTGCTGCAAGCTCTAAACCGGGAGAGGATGAACCACAAAGAATATCAACTGTGAGATGGACTGACTGTAGAAAAGTGTCCTTCTGTGTGACTACTGATGTAGTCACTGATGTGAGAAAGCTCATAGCACACCTGGCAAGCTCTTCCTGTGCTCCTCAGTGAACTAACTGCTAAAGGCAGCTTTACTTTTAAAATGACCAAGCAAGGAAAAGAATTACATCTCTTCATGTGTCTCAAATGAGGGCTTATGTTGCTGTTGCAGTATTAATAGAAACAATAATATTCATGGGTTAGACTTGGGCATATTACAACTCATCCCCTCACTACCCAGAGCAGTGATCTTATTGCATAGCAAAAGCAATTCCAGGCTCTACTAATTTAACAGATTGTGTTGGATCATGTTCAGTCTTGTTCCAGTAACTCCCCCAGCTTTCTATGGGTGGGAGGGTTAAATGGGATATGAATACAATTAAGCTATAGGGTGAATTAAAAAAAAACATCATATTGTGGGCTACACAATTTTCAGCAGGAAATACATACTTAATCTTCTGTTAGTATCTTGATTTCTCTATTTTCTTTCAAATAATTTTACAGAGTACTGACATCTAACTCAGTGATCTATATTACAATTCTCCATCTGAACTTCGGCTTTTTTCTTCTGTTCAAAAAAAAACTGCCACAAGCGCAGTTATTCAAACAAGACAGGATTGTTTCCACCAGGAGCTGGTAGCCTCCAGGTGATGGATTGGATCCTATCCCATCATACATGCTGTTTTACAAAAGAAGTGGAGGGTTTTGCTGAGGCATTACAGACAACTTGCAGTGCTGCACGATACAGCAGAAGAAAAGCTGGAAACATATTCTCATCTTTAGCAAAACCTTCACAGTAACTATTAAAAAAAGCCCAACATGCTGCTGCTACCCCACCCTAGTTTTCACAATGGTATCGAAAAGGTTTCAGGACACACTTGCTGTTATTTACACAAAATAAATGTGGAAATTCTTGTGTCAAAGCCAAAGACTATTCCCCTTTCTCATGTCCCCTGATACTTGCAGTCATTGCTTCTTATTTATCTAAACTGTTTTTTTCCAAAGTTTAACTGATTGTCTTTTACAGTTATTATACAATCACAGCTTTTCATCTAAAACACAACAGGCTTCTGTAGGTAGAATGACCCAATCCCCTCAGTCTGTAAACATGAATTCTTTTGCATTTGTTAAATACAGTGCTTCCTCTCAAGTTATTCTGTGGCAAGTAAACTACATAAATACTGTCCCCCACTTTATTAAAAGAAATTTTTTTCATTGTTACCAAACTTGAAATATTTAAAAAATACTTACATAAACAGGATGGAGATCCACTCCATACATTTCCAGGCACTTGGCCACCCCTAAGAAGTTCAATTCTGCCTCAGCAGGAACTTGACCCCTGTAAACAAAATTCTGTTAAGAAATTAGCACTTCCAGTCAACATATTAAAATAGATCACATTAACAGATACAGTATCCTGGACATGTATGCAATCCTTCCTTCCATTTGTTTAGACTGTCATTGTACTTTCAGCTGAAAGGATACTTTCGGCTTATACTTCTGCTTGCTCCAAGTGAGACTGGACCGTAGGAACAAATTTTCTATAAACTTTCTATTTTTCTTTCTACTAAACTTTCTCCTGTAAGATCCTGTCACAGATATATGCTATCATATATACAATGCATGCCTACTACAGTGGCTAATATTTTCCCTACTGTCACAAACACACTCCAGACATTCCATTTTTTAGGTTTGAATATGCAAAATAACTTTTTTCTCAGTAACTATATATGATAATTAATAAAGCAGGAATAGAATGACTGACTGGGGTACTATTTCCCCACAGCAGTTTCTGAAAGCAGAGTTCATGACTTCAGAAAAAATATTCCTTTCTTCATAAAATCTTGTCTATAGAAAGCCACACAAACTAGTAATAATCAAGTCTGCTACGGTGAAAACAAAGTTTGGAGTCCGTCTCATGACACTACCAGTGTCAAAGATCCAGCTTGCCTTCCTATCAGCAAATATCAATTCACCAGATTAAAACTACCATCAGCAGCATGCTGGTTGGAAACAAGAGCAGAAAACCGGTGGGGAAAAACCCCATGCTATTAGGAGCATATTTGACATCAGTGACAAAGGACTGATTTTCAAAAAGAACAAAATGATCAAATAAATACAAAGTCGACAACAGACTCATCCTCAGAATTTAAATTATTCTTTCCTTAATAACTCCCATTGGTACAAGAGCAAAACACTGTTTCAAGCCTGAAATATGTGAAGCTACTTATTCATCTTCATTCTTTTTTAATACTTCTGTGAAAGTTACTGAACTGTTATTGAGAAAGTACAACACATCTTGTGAAAATGTTAACTCAAAAAGGATGCATTTCCTGCTTCACCCTGTGACTGCTCTCTTAGGGAAACCACTGCATTTGCTACCTTTCAAATCTGAGATGTGAAGCAGAGCTCAGCATTTTGACTCAAGACCTGGAAAAGTCCTGCAATATGCTCATTCTCACTCTTTGTCCCCAGCCTAGAAGCTCCTTTCCAGGTTTTCCCAAATTCTTGCTATGCCTGGCAAGACAGAAAACATATCTAACATGAACACTGAAATAGTGTGCTAGCATGAATGTAACAGTATAGGTATTTAAAATGCTCGCCTATCTTGAGGTGGGCTGCTTCAGCCCACCTATTGTGCATAGTAGAAATGATACTGCTTCAGGTGTTGGCCCTTCTTTCTAAGGACTTACAGAGAAACAGCAGACCTGAAGCTTGTAAGAGAAATCTCTTTCTTCCAAGGGCTGGATCTCCCAGGAGATCTGTGATTCATCTCTGTACTCAGAATAAGCAGAACACTGGATATTGGATATTCAGCAAATCATATTGTCACATCTGGCATGTCTTTTATCCACTACTGCTATAAAAACTTACTACACAACTTGATTTATTTTTTTTTTTTTTTAAATCTTATTGGTAGCGCTCAGAAATTTAAAGAAAACTTCACTGGAGCCATATTGTCTTACTGAGTTCCCAGACAGAACATCAGTCCTGAGCAAAGTGGATTATGCCATTACTGAATTACTGCTAGAATCCAACACCAATTTAAATACTGCTAGTAGCATTTCCTTACTGACCATACCTAAAAGAATGATGATATGCTTATCCCACTTTGTCACTCTGAAAGTACCAAAAGTCTCAAATGCCAAATAAGTGTGTGTGAACATATATTTCCACAATAATACATAGTTTGTAAGAAATTCACAGAAGTTTTAAAGGAAGTAAAGATGTGAGCTGAAGCTTCTGAAGGAAGCAGATGGAAGCCAGAGGAAGAAGTCCTCCCAAATACAAATGAAGAAGACAGAACATGAAGGGAAGTGAGAAATATCAGGGACTGAAATAATGTCCACTATTACAAAGGGTGCCTCATTTTTTACCACGTATGAAATTACAAACGCTACTCCTCAATGCTCTCCAAAATGAAAGAGTCTTTGCAGATGGTTATGGTAGGGCAGGCAATGTAACAGCCATGCAGCTGACAGGCACTGCTCATTGAGATGGACAAAGTGTGCCACTGAGGGCCCTAAACAATATTGAGAGCTAGTCTTAAAGCTAATTATCCATAAGGATGCAATATCAATTCAAAATACTTGACTTGCCAAGTATCAGTTAGTCCGAGATCTGCTGCAGTCTGGAACAGAAAGAGCGGAGAGGGGGAGGAAGCGGGGGGAGTGAGCAGGCAAGCTGGGTGGTTCTGAGTTACTGACTGCACTTAAACCAGGACAGTTCTTCTCGGCACCCAATGTGGGACACGAAGGGTTGAGATAATGACAGATGTGACCGGAGTGTGTCTAATCGTATTTGTGATAAGCATTCATTGTTTCAGATAAATAGTCGCTCATCACAATGCTAATTTATTGGCTGTCAGAGTTGTTGCTTCTGACCTCACAGTTTCAACATGTTGTACCTTACTTACAGCTGATTATTTGCTGTCTTAGTGTTTATCAGCTGGGGGACTTGGGGTAAGGTTCTTGTCCCATTGTACTTTATGGTAATGACTTGTAATACGATAGAATCATTGATCATGAAACTGATCTGGCTTGCATTCCCAGTGCAGTCACCACCTTTATACTTTGGGAGGTATATAACAGAAGTGCTTAGCAATTACATTTCTTTTTAATCCTTCTCGGGTAGTCAACCTGTGAAGGAGACATTCTCTTACCCTCCCCACCCTCCTCCCAGAGGAACAAATCAAAAGAATGTAACTCCCACAGGCTGAGATAAGAACAGTCCAGTAACTAAGGTATAACACAAACCACTGCTGCTACCACTAATAATAATAATGATGTGGGAAATAACTAGGGAAGAGAATACAGTACCACCTGCCGATACCCAGCCCAACCGACCAGTGAACTTGCCCTTCCATGTAACTCTCAGTTTACATCCTGGGCGTGACATGCTGTGGTATGGAATACCTCTTTGGCTAGTTTGGGTCAGGTGTCCTGTCCCAGCTTCCTCTCAGCTTCCCCTCCTCCCTGGCAGAGCGTAACACTCAGAAAGTCCTTGGTCAGACTAAACATTTGAGCAGTAACTAAAAACATCGGTGTTATCAGCGCTGTTCCCAGGCTGAAAGTCAAAACCAGCTACTAAGAAGGAGAAAAATGACTGCTACTGCTGAACCCAGGATACATGCAAAAAAACAGACAGAACCTGCAACTAAAACCAGTTTACCTGGAAGCAAGGTACATGCACCACCACCAAGGTGTCTTGCAAAAATCCCCATGCTTCCATGCTCAGCTCCAGAAAGGATAAAGTAAGTCTTCTAAACCATATCATAAACCTGTTCCTAAAATGTTTCTGGTGAGATAATCTAGGATATATCCTCAGCCATTGCAGCTTCAAACCTCTTAACTAGAGACCACTGTCTCCTGTACAGAAGTCATTGCTGACAGTGCCGATCATGACAGGCTCAACTAGCAATGGGTACACCTTACTTTCACTCTCTTTTCTGATGCTGCTAAATCCATGACACCTAACTGCAAAAGAACTTCAGAGGTCTAGGTCAATAAGCTTACAAAAATACTAAAGACAGTGTCAAGACAGTTATGACCTCTCTTTGCAACCACTGTTCCCCCAGCTTCTTCAAGGTTACAAACTTTTTGAGACAAATGGGTCTTAAATCTCATTTACTACACTAATGACTGCAGAAACTTGAGAGAGAGGAATTAAGGTTGCTTAGTATCAGTGGCCTGGTACACAGAATTCATCCCAAGTTTCATTTTTGAAACACAACCACCTCTGATGTTGAATCAAACACTCTCTGTTACTCAGTTTCCAGTCTCTGGAACAGAAAAACCAGCACTTTTGTACTTCACAAAAGAACCTGTAGCAAGGTTCTCTGTAAATCATCAATTACTGTAAGGCAGCCAGGCAACTACGTAGAAATAGTTACTGAACAACAGACTCTTCACTGAAAGAGAAAGCTGAGGTCAATGTGGCAACTGGCACTGATTCCAATCACAGGAGAACTTCCCAAACAGAACAGCTGTGCTTCTGAGTTAATACCTATTCTCATTAAACAAGGCACAAATAAAACTAGCATGCAAAACTACAGGCAAGAAATTTCTTAACCTTTATCTAGACCGTGGCTTCTTTATAGCAAAAGAATCAAGAAATCTGAATTTACATGCAAGATAGCTAGCTCTGATTATCTTTACTTTAACAAAGGGTAGGATGAGTGTACTCATAAAAAGTTTTCTATTGCACCCATCTTAATAAATGGCTGCACCACAATTGCACCTCACTTGGACTTGTTAAAACAAGCTTCTTTATACTTACCAGGAATATGAATTTGGAGATAAGCAAGTAAATGTTTAATTTGGCGTTGTGTACAGTTGATCTGGCATACATTTTATTTTCAAAACCAATTTCATGTTTTGCATTTCTGAAGGCACTGTAGTCTAATATTTGGAACATCAGGTTGGGAAGCCAGATCTCTCTACCTTGCAGTGCTTTCATACAGCAATTGGCAGTTCAGGCTCTGTACCAGGAGTACTTCAAGTCTAAAACTAACCTCACTGAAAGTATGTTATACATAGAAGACCACTTCTAAATATGAGTAAGTGGGACAAAAAGTGGCTCTAAATTGCTGGCGATTTTTTCATTTTACTTTTGTACATCTAGAGGCAGCATAAACCTCCTCTAAGAAGACTACTTACACAGCTGCTGCAAATGCATCTAGTATTTAACCTATATTCACACATAATCACTTTCTAGCTCTACCACCTTTACTGGAAATCACATCCTTTGCTCCAACATTCCTATGAAATTACTGGTTTTCCTCTCTATGTTGCTGCTGTTGTTCATCTCTCAAGCACTGACAGAAACAATGCGGCCAAAGGTTACTACTAGTTCTTATCTCGCTTATCTGTTAGACACCCCAGTCCACTTCCTGGTTGTCCATACTGCAGTTTTGCTTTTTTGCTTCCCAAGTAATCAAGGAAAGGCACTTTATGCACAAACTGCAGCCTCACAGAAAATGAGCTGACTCCTAAAGCAGCATCTTGGGATCCACCATCAGGCAGAGATTATCCAGAATGTCAATGACAGCACAACTCACATGTTTTGTGTCTAAGGGGATTGTTATCCCAGTAACTGAAAGACAGAGAACTGAAATTCTGCAATCTTTATAATGAAAATGACTCTGCCTTGTCAAACTTTTATAAAGGTTAAGTTGGGAATGCATGAATCAACCAGGTTGGTTGACATACATGATCTCTGTAGCCCTCCTCTGTCTCATCTGCAGTGTGCCTCACATTCTCCTCCTGCCCCTGTCAAGTACCATAACTCTAGCTTAATCCCACTTTCTGAGCTCCTTCCCATACGTAAGAAATATTATCATACATAGTTTCAATGCCTGTGAACTTTGATAGTACCGTGTTCAGTTTAAATCGAAATTACTTCGAGGCCTGCTTCTCCCACTGCTTTAAAGTCACACGCAAAGTTTTGGAATTTTGTTTTTTGTCCAGAAACCAGCACTTTGAAAGCCTTTGTTATTCAGTACTGGCTGATGACTCTGCTTCTGGGTGCTGCTTTTTTTCTTAGAAATCATATGTTCTTCCTCACAGTGAAACCCATTATATTGTCCACTGCCAATATGTTTTATGTAACATATGTTGATTAATAAAATGAAAGGACTTCATGCTTGTAAAACCAAACTGTCTCTTTAATTCATGCAGATGTTGTAGCTAAGATTATCACTTAAACCATGGGCATATAAACTGCTTTCCTGGTACCTCCTGCAGTGTGAGCCACCCCTACAAAGAAACGTTCATGCAGGTTGCTACAAGCACTCCTTCATTACCTTAGCTAAGGATCTGGCAAGAAAATAGAGGCTTCATTGTACAAAGTGCTGTAAATTATTAAATCAAAAGTGGGTTTGTCCCAAGCATTCATTTGAATACGAAGCGCAGTACAAAGAAATGTTATCCCCATTTTACAGGCAGCAGACTGAGGCATGGGCATAATAAGCAATATGCCCAAACAGGAAATCTGTCCTGGAATAGGGAACTGACCTTGCAGACTTTTATTTATTTAACTACAAAACTAAAAGAAAACAGAAGCACTATTAAAACTGCTGGTTCTGAAACACTCATACATTGGTCTGACATACATAGTATTTCCAGTTATCGCCCCATCGGTTCCTAAAAGAACAACTTTAATTATGTAAAATGTTTTCTGTTTCTGAGGGACATAACTGAACTCTGTGTTCTTCCCTTGGGTCTAGAGACCTCCACTCTGCAGGCACAAGCTGCACCCTTCCCCACCTACCAAGCATCTCTGTATGTGATGTTACCTGCCAAGTTCCCAACAGTACTGAGTTCTTACATCAGAGTTTTGTGTATCCGCTCTACGGCTTCCTCCAGCTCTTCCTTCTGGTCTGGAACAAATCGGTACTCCGAGACGTAACCTGCAGTGTGCTTATATGGGTCATAGTCCCCCAGCTCAGCTAGAGAATACAAGAAGAAAAGAAAGGTCACCTATTTTCAACACCTTATGTTAAACAAAAAGTGTTATATCATTCACCTATTGGTCCCAAGACACCTGTTTCCAACTGACTACCATGTAGTCCATTAAAAAACAACAAAACAGTACATAGCTATTCATATAAGCACACATAAAACCAAGAAAAAATGTTTTCAGCCTTTTTAAAAGAGAAATTGAAGGTTCAGAGATAGAGGTTTTGGCAGAATTTGTACCACTTCTACAGGACTGAATAGAATTTCATCCAAGCCAGCAAAGTTGAGATTTGATGACATATATTATTTGGCAGTATATGTAAAAGAAGTGAAGAAAAAAAGTTTTGGTTTTGGAATATCTGTGCCCTCCCATAAGATATAATATTACAGACAGAACTGACCCACCTTCTTTCTGGGTCTCCTAACACAGATGTCAGTGTGGGAATGCAAATGGAGACAAATATCTTGAGACACATGGAGGTATGCCCTTCTAAAGGTAAGCATTGTTTCTTGTGAGGAAATGCAAGACTTCATTTTTCAATAAAATATCAATATACTTCCTGAACATTAAATTTACTTTCAAATTAATTTTTTTTTTTAATAATTTTCTTAACACAATAGATAGCTGGTATAATTTTCTTTGAAACAACCTTGAATTTGCATACATTACTTATGTCAGATTTCACAATGCAATGCAAATCTAAAATAAATAAGCACCTTGGTCAGAACTCACTTCTACTGATCTTAACTATAATTGCAGCTATCTGAAAAACTGTGAAAATTAGTATTTCAATTTTTTAATAACCCTAAGTAAAATCTACATAGGGTAGGCTTCTCTGAAGAAAGCTTCACAGGAGGTTTTTATAAAATGCCTACAAAGTCAAAAACATAGCCAAAAGGAGGCTTCAAGACCCAAGAAGCAAAGGATTCATCTAACAACTCATGTTTCTTTCCAGAATTTAATGATGTTTCTAGAACAAGATAGTGATCTGCTCAGTAGGGATGTTGAAAAGTTTCTCTAGAAAACCTCTGTCAAAATAATATGATTTTTGCCCATAACAGGAATAACAGGAAGGACTACAGCAGCAATAACTCCAGCACTCTCAATAGGAAAATTCTCCAAAATGTGCCATGGGTACTGATTTTTCCATCATCTCCACTATAATAGTCTGGAATCTTTGACCACAAAAGAAGGAAAATGATTAATTGGTTAAAAACAGGACCTGCCCAGAGACCAAAGATGACACCCAGGTACAATCTGAATGGTGAAAGTAGGGCTTGTGGCTAGAGCAGCACATGAGTAGAGGACCCTGGGAGAACACAGGCCCTGGCCCCTCCTCTGGATCTTGGCAGCTGCTGGCTGCACCAGGCAAGACACCACAAGTATCAGTACAGAAACAGAGATTCTCAGCTAATGCCAAATTCCCACAAATGCACTTGATCTTAGTTTAGGAAAGAAAAAAATACAGTCTGTCTGGCACACCACCTTTGGAAAGGCTGTTGATCTCAGCGCTGATGCCCTGGGTTCATGTTTTCAGTACCTGAACATATTTCCCAGGTGGTTTCATATACTTTGAGCAACTGCAGGCTCTAAATAAAAAGACAAAGCTTTTTATAGTCAATGGGAATGTATTCTTGCTGGTGCCAGGACTAGCTTTAAACCACTGTATGTAACCTTTGCCATGCTTTAACTCTCCTCTCTCACATGAGCTTCCTCATTGTTTTCCAACAGAATATCTGAGATCAGAATCTCAGTTACAGGATTTTATACCAAAACAACAACTCCCGATATGGACCTTACAAATGACTGAAGAACAAGAAATTGTTCTTTTTTACTCATTTCTATTAATACCATTGTTACCATCATTATGTATCTTCCTGCCTCATATTTGCAGCATTTTTTCAGGTAAGGCATATATGCCAGTAGAGCAAAATGTGCACTGCAAACAGTTCTTCAGAGTATGACATGTCACATTTCTTAGGAAAATGAAGTTAAAAATACTTGCATAAAAACTGCCTGAATTTTTAGCTTTTTAGGAACACATATAACACACCATGAAATTCTGTATAATGCCCACTTCCATTTTATACACAAATTATTCTGCCTTGCTATTCTAAAATGGAAATTTAAGGAGGACTATTTTCTGTGTTGCATTAAGTGTTGTTAAGTCACACATGGAACACCAACAATACATATAATCTCTGCTTAATACTTACCAGTCATGGGAAATCTAAATTTAACACAGAAAAAATTACAAATACAGGTCCCAGCATGACTCATCATAAGATTCTTGGTTACCAGTTGTGTTTGAATACAGAGTTTGAACTGTAATGTGAAAGGAATAACTGGTAGACAGACAGTTCCTTTCAAATTGATTGCTAGTTCTATCAAGAATGCACAATATAACATCCACTTCTGAAAAAGCTAACTACTGATGGGTGAATGCAGATAAATGACAGATAAAATTAAAATTCTTCACTTCAGGTCAAAACACATCCTCCCTTCAAGCAGAGGCACATTCATATTGACATAACCTAATTCTGGAAAGAATCTTTGACTTGACAAGACTTTATTGGCTGGAGGTTGCCAACAGCCTGCCAAATCTGTGACCTCTTGATAAAGGTTCTGTCATACCCTATGTGCAATCCAGACTAAGTCACAAAGACTTAAGTACATGACAAGATATTCCTCAGCAGGCAAAAGTGTTTGCCAGAATCTTCAGACTGACTTTTCAGTTTCGTCTTTACAATAACTTCTATATTGCTTCCCTATTATCTGTTCAGAACAGTCATCTATTTACAGTTCTCTAGATGAAATCAGTCATACTAGTTTTGTTCTGCTTTGAAATGAATGCATAAAGTATTAGTGGAGTCTTCAGTCACCACTTAAAATTAATCCTAAAGCAGGATTAACAGAAATAAACTCTCAGCTGGCCAGAACTTACACTGAATTATATATGCTCCCAGCTGTGCTGCAGTGTTGCTTGGACAAGGTAAACGGCCCTGTAAAACATCCTGCTTGACTTGCAAGAAAAACTGATACCTAAAACACAGAGAGAAAACAAAATCATTATTTCAACATTGAGTTTGATGCATCAAGTAATGTTACACCATATTCCATTTTACTGAAGACATGCCATGTACCATAACCATGTGACAGTCAAGAAGCTTCCTTACTGACTTTTCCCCTCCTGACCCTGAAGTAACAAACAAGATTAATTTAGTGAAAGAACTTAGGTAGGGGAACACTGTAGTTTTCCTATCTACTTATATCATGCAGATATAATTAATTTTCCCCCTAAAAACATGATTTCTCTCTTTTGACTTTCACAGAGCAGTCAGGGAGTGGGCAAGAGGACTAAGAATCAGAAAAATTGAACAAGAGACCTATCAAAGGGCTGAAGTTTAACCCTGATCAGAGGATCAAAGTAAGGGAGAACTGGGTATTGGATACTTTTTTACTCAAATGTTTCCTTTCCAGACACCCAAGTATCAGCTAAAGCAGCCAGCAGATTTGATGGGAGTCTATACCTCCCTGAAAAGAATGGAAGTGCGTATCAGCAGCAGCTAACTCTATCTGTTGTAACATGGAGTACTCTCCTTCTTGGGATAGAAATAGCAGGGGTAAAAATGTAATTTTCAGAGTCGACACTTTATGAAGCACATACTGAAACCACTTGCAGTGAAACAACATGTATAAGACAGAAGAGACAAGAGAACAAGCAATCATAAACAGGATCTGCTTGGTTTTACAGTTCCTCATTTATTTATTTACTCATTTACAGGAAACCTTTCCTATGCTGGTTGCATTTTGTCTGGTTTTACTACAACAGATGTTGGCAGGATTTCACGTTAGCCTAAGCAAATTTCTTGTACCAAGTTCCTACAACAGGTAACAATATTGAGAAGGTAACTTTTTAAAGCAAAAATGGTCAACCATACAAGCATATAGTCTTTCATTATTCACTAATTCAACTTTATCTACATAAAGCCATTCAGCTACACTGCAAATAATTTATTCTGTGTTAGTACAAGTTACTTATGAAAACACCTTGGAATGATCTTTAAGTTCAAAGTGCATGCACACTGATTTCAGGGAAGTTCACGAATTGCAGATTGCATGACAGCTGATTACAAATCACTTAAGATCCAGTCAAATTTACTAGATTTTATCACCCCAGATGAGCATCTGAATAAGGATAACAGCATCTTTCTGATTAATGATCCCCCAGAATTTTTGCTGTGACAGATACTATAGAAGCAATGTCCACCCTTAAAAAAAAAAAAAACGGCTAATACTCTCTGCCTTAAAGGACCAGGGCACTGTGTAAGAATTTTCTGGGAATGTCATGAGGGAACACAAAGCATGTACTCAGTGTTTCTTAATTCTAGGCAATACCTCAGTAGTGCTTCCAGCTTATGTTTGCCAGTCCTATCTAGACAAAGCTTGCCTGTATGAATGGTGATAATGATAAAAATTATTTTATATCTACTGTGGACTACACAGCATCTTCTTTTTAACATGTAATGCATTTTTTATATGCACCCATCTTTCTGTTAGCACTCCTCCATCTCTACAGTGCTTCTGAGGAGCTTCATATCAGATGATACTATAAATGTTTTCTTCATGTAGCAGACATCTATAATTCTACATTCTCATAGTAGTGTCAAAACAAAGCAGGATAGGAATGCAAAAAAACACCCTCTCCCTGAAAAAAAAAAAAAAAACAAAAACAAAACACAAACAAAAAAAACACACAAAACAAACAAACAAAAACAACTATGAGAGCCAACTGTTAAGTGCTTAAGTGACTTCTCTAAAGTGAACACCCTGAATTCCCACTGAAGCCACTAAGCTCCTCTCCTTTTTCCCACTAAGGACAAAATGACCTTTTGTCCAAACTTGTAGCTAAAGGACCTTGTGAACTTTCAAGTTTGTCGTGTACATATGATAGTGGCTAAGCACTAGTTTGCTCTAGCAACCACATACAACAAAGACCGCAGCATTAGCTTTTGCCTACAAGTTGGACAGATTTTGCTGTGAACCAATTACAAATTTAGCATGTTTTCATTATCTGAAAATAGTAATCATGTAATGCCACAGATCACCAATATCCAATAACAACAGTGTCCCCTCTCATATCCATTAAAATGAACAAACACATGCTCCAAAGAAACATACTGGTTAGCAAAAAACAGTTAACACTTCTTAATCATGGGAATTACACAGTTTGTCAGAAAATTATTGTTATTAAAAAAAGTAGGGCTTTTAATCCCTTCTAAGCAAGAGGAGGTTTCTTTTTTTTTTTTGGGGGGGGGGGGAACACAAAAAAAACAAAACCAACAAACAAAACCAAGAAAAAAAAAATCAAAACCACCAAAAAAAAACCCTTCGGTCCAAGATTCAAGGGTCTACAGGAATAAATGCTAAGAAATGTTGAGGGCAATTGATTATTCAATGTGTTTTGTTCAGTCTGTCAACACAAGCATATCACTTTCTTACACCTTCCCTCTGTGCTTTCTAAGATGCAAATAATGAATACTCAAATACCGCACAAAGATGAACAAAGTCTTAGGAATTATACTGAAATGCTTCTCAGATAGAGTCACATACCTAATCAGCAGTGCAAATCACTGACTGACCTTATTACAAGGCAAAGGGAAACAGTTTCTGAAAACTTAGCCCCTGTCATTTCCCAGACAGAAATCCACCCTGCCTCCCCGGTAGCAATCACAGGTTCGGTGGCAAAAAAGCTCCCTCCCCAGGGTCATCCATCTTCCCCTGTGAGCAGGGCTGCAAATGCTTCTGGAAAAGTACAGGAAAACTGCATCAAACTTTCATGGTACAGGGGCATCACACTGTGGCCAGTTTACACTCTTTTACCTGCAAAATCAGTGTTTATTACTTTTACCAGGCCAGCTCCTAACTTGTTATATTGGATACTTCTATTCCTGCTGTACCAGTACAGAAACAAAATAATTTTCTTCCTCTGGTAGAAGAAAAATATTCTACCTGTTCGTAACTGCCACCTTTGATTAAGGAAAATTTAAAATCCTGCATGCATCCTAATGAATTCTTATGCGCCATATTCCTAGGACATCAAAAGAAATATTTTGTCATTTATTAATGCAAGCCAGTGCACTAATTTTGTCCACCTACCTACTCAAATCCTCTAATTGCCTTTTGAATCTAAAACTAAGTGTCTGAGACCTTTCATAATTAAAGCAAACAGAAAAATCTGTGTGTAAGAGTACAGGCAAGCATGTGTGTGTGTGTGTGTTACCATGTGTTTATGTGCAAGTGTGCTGTGCATGTGTTAGCATGTGTATCCACATATTTTGTAGAGGCCAAACTTAGTGAAAAGAATCAAAAGCATGCAATTCTTCAATTTTCTTCACATATTTTTAGAAAGACCAAAAGAAATCCTCTTGGAAAACAGTTCCAGAATTTAACCTAAAATCAATAAAGAAGCAAATTCCCTATATTCATATATTATATCCAAGTAAACTCTAAACTCAATTAACAACAAAAATGCAGATGTGACAATGCATTCCTTAAAAAACAGACAAAAAAAAAAAAACAAACACACAACAAAACACAAGTGTACATCAACTCTCTTTGGGTTTTGATGCATCAGAGACCAACTTTTCATTTTGGATTTCCAAATGGTTGTCCATACTGACCAGTGTGAAGCTAGTCACAATTCTCTTCCTACACATACATCTTCAAGCAAAAACATTAAGATGTTCAAGTGAAAAGAAAACCAACCCAGACACACCACAACAATACACACCTGGCTAGAATAGATTACTGCCCTGAAATAAACAAACTATAAATTCTATTCTTATGGAATCCTGTACCTTGTGACTTCTTCTTTAAGTTTACATGGATCCTCTGCATAGAATTTAATGCCAAAATACAGGGTGTATGGTGGTCCATCTGAGGGAAAAAGTATTTGGTGCAAAAGTTAGTTGTTATGAACTGTTAATTGTTATTAATTGATACTGGTTGACTACAAAACAGCTAATAAGAAGCATATTTTTATATTTTACAGCACTTGAAAAAGTTTCAGAAAAAATGTTACATCCACATCACAAATCCATTACACATTTTCTTTCTTATAGCTTGTCTGACTATATGGAGTTTTTGTTTATTTTAAGGATTTGACTTTGGATTTAATTTCTAACTTATATTTTCTCCAAGTTTTTGATTTTTTATTTTTTTTTACTGCTTGCTTTTGACTTTAGGTACTTTTTCACTGAAGCTATTTGGAAAATGTTATTGTTCATGAAGTGTGATTCTCTGTCCTAACTAGTAATACTGAACACTAATGCCTTCCAAATTTTCAAATATCTTATGAAGCAACTTTAATTATGTGCCACTTTAATTAAGAAGTATTTGGAAAAGCTTTTCTAATTAACTTTTAAAAAATATTCCCTCAAAAGATTCAGTTAACTCAATACTGGAATTCTTTTAGCTAAATTTATTCCACGCATGCTCCACATAGTATCTTTTTATAGAAGGTCTCCAAATTCTCAAGTAATATAATCTTACCATGTTCTTTAATTATAATAAATAACAGATCTTGCATCTATGATATCTGAAGAGTGACAGTAACAGCAGACACTCTATTATCAATAAGAAGAATTGCTTCTACTTTCAGAAGCAAAAAGGAATCTAAATTGGTTGTGGTATGGTACAGTATAATAGAGGTATCACAGCTACTATAAAATTAATTATACAAGTTAAGAATAGCACCATAAATTATTCTAAAAGCAATAATTCTAATAAAGTCTTTGGACAATAATCACACAAATTACTGGAAAATCATGGTATGTTCAATCTATGTGTGAAATTTTGATACAGCTGTGAACTGCAGTAATAAACGTGTTCAAGAACTATCAATCTGTTGTGACTAGAATATAAATGTTGCACAGCTGTACATATGGAACATTGCCTCTGTTACTCCATCTTCAGATATATTCTTTATGTTCAAATTAGATACATACTGTTTATCAACTCTTTATGTTCAGCAAGGGTCTTTGCAGGATCTAGCCAATACTGTAAGACAATGATGGCAATTAATCACTTAACATTGAAAATTAATACAGAACAATCACAATTCTAAATTTATTCATATATTGATCTTTATTAGCACACTTCAGCCTGCTAATGACAATGTTGTTCCAGTTTCTAATCAGAAAAACACTGTACAAGTCTAACATTGCATATTTTCTCTGGGGGTAGGGGTCTTTCTAAAAGGAAACCTGCTTGGTAAGAGCCACCAGGTTTCAGGCTCATAACAAGCTGGTTCTACAGAAGTATCATGCCCTTTGGTGTCTCACTGATCTGCTGGTACATGGATGTGCAACCTTGCTATTTTCTTCTTGAGAGATTAACTTCAGCAGGGTACTTCTAAATAACAACAACAAAGTATGTAAAACAGGGAAAATGAAGAGGCTTCACTTATATTATGAAAAACAAAAGATTGTAGGGGGAAGAATAGGCATAACAGCACTACTGCAACACAAGAGAAATTGCTTTAAGAACACAGTGTCAACTTTCCTTCATGCTGCCAAGTATGAAAAAATTGACTTAACTGGAAGCAAAGGAAAAATAATTTCAATTATCAGAAACAGTTTCTAGTAGCAGGGAGAGAGGATGACTGGAAATCAGCACTAAGGTAGGGAGGGTACAGACTCTTCCACCAGATAGTTTACAAGGCTAGTTCAAAAACGTGTCAGAGATGACTGAGGTACACTTTGTACCTGCAAAGGGATGAATTATGATATGGCTTCCCATACCATTTGATCAAAAGATAATCTGCAGTATTATTTCTCACCAATTACTCTGCTCTGCCTCTATCAGACTTCTACTAGAGGTTAACCTGGTATTACTGCTAATTACAGACCAGCTGTGTACTTTGCAGTATGGCTACACAGGACACCAGCATCCTGCCTCTGTATTCCCTTCAGCTGCTTATTTCTTCCTTAGGTTGACATTTCTATCATTCAGATTTGGAAGAAATTGCAGAGGCAGCTGCCACGACCGTTATTGCCTTCCTTTTCTTCAGTCCTCTTTCCTCATAAACAACTTCAATACAATTACCGGAGATTGGCACCACTCTTAAGAAACTGGAAACAAAAAGGCTGCAGAACACAGCTTCTAGAAACAGCAAATTAAGGCAGATTGAATCTATTCCCTTAGTACCCGCAACTTTTTAACTGAGGAACTACATGACCAATGGACAAAGAAACTCCTTATTTGCACCCCTGAATTCACCCTATAGAGAATAAACATTAAATGATTAACCAAAAAATCTCCCCCTTCTAGTCAAAGGGAGGGGAAAACACTACAAAGCATATGAATGGAAAATCTCAAGCAACTAATTTTACAAGTGGCTGTAAACAAGTATTATTTTGACAAAACTTGAAAACAAACTACTTCCATTAGCTGCTGATCCACCTACAACAGAAACAGCTGTATGCCTTGTCCTTGACCACTGCAATTCAAATCCTGGAATGTTTATACAGAAAAATTTCCTAAATTTTGAAGGAAAAAAGATATCCAGTCCATGCTTGTATCAAATACATCCAGTATCTATTAAAGTATAAACCCTCTTAACTTCAACAGAAGTTGGGAAGGAACGAAAACTCATCACACTTGTTCAAACCCTCCACTAGAATCCAAATCAGCAATAAACTGAGCCAGCACAACAGGCTGGGACAGAGAGCAGTGAGGAAAAAGAAAGAAAGCCTCTCGTCTGCCTTCTCATTTCTCCAGGAAGTATTTAATGTTGTGGTAATGCCACAAACCCATGCTTAAAATCATTCTGTAGCAATTTATTATTTCAAAGGCTGCCAAAATTTTCCAGAAAAATGCAAATGCAAGCTGGGGGGGGGGGGTAGGAGAGGGAGATTTCTAACATTTTATTTATAAGCCAAAGATGAACAGAATTGCATGGATAACGAAATGGCATTTTCAAGCCAACGTTAGACAATAAAAATTAGAACAATTACAAAACCAAGAACCCCGACAACACAGCCTTCCAAGCATACATACGTATGTATACACAATAATGTGTATTAGATACCTGTTAAATATTTGCATATACATATAAATAGTGTTAGGTATAGTTACAATTTTGAGTTCACATGTTGAAATGTCAGAAGAAAAAAAAAAAAAAAAGCAAAGTGTCTCATTAATCCAGTACGCTTGGAGAGCGAGTGCTCACAACAAACCTTGCAGTTCTGAATGCCGAAGTAGTTTCAACACACAGCTACACTCTTTTAATCTGTTTTGGCACCCAGAATGCCACTTCTCAGTGATTTTCCACCTGCACCTCTCCTGCACAGGTAGCAAGGGTTATCTGACTTGTAAACATCTCAGCACTACTGAAAGAGGCAGCAGGTCCAGCATACACCCATCCAACTGCAGGGGATAAATTTTGTGAGTCTGAAAGGGGAATGCAGCATTTACAGAAGAAATGGGGGAAAAATGGTTTCTAAATAGTCCTAATCAATGCAACTATCCAATTACTATTGTGATGGTTGCTCTTTTAACAATTATTATTTACAAAGACCACAGAGCATTAGTTTAATTCAATCATTTTTTATTTACTAAAACTGATTGTAGATGAACAATATTAGTAGAGAAAAAAAAATCCATTTAATTTTTTGGTAGAAATTATATTTAAAAAAATGTTCTAAAGTACAGAATATCTAAGATGGGCTGTATTGTCCTTTGTACTTTTACAAATCTGGCTTCCCTATGAGTCAGATGTGTAAGCAGTATGCATCCAAGTACCGTGCAGTACTTCATATTTGCCCCTTTAATGACTGCAAGAATTTTTCCACAAATCTGGAATTTTCATTCCTTATATCTACATAGGGTTAAACCTGGGTCAAATTCCATGAACCTGTTGGAAACAAAATATTAACCAGGTTGAAATGTTTGCTGAGATATCAATCAATGAAGTGTCTTGTGGAGAAAAACCTATCAATTTCAAACTAAATCCTGGGCTGCCTTAATTAAATTCTTACAAAGCTGTATCCATCATGCCACACATGCTGATTTTTATTAACATTTGCAACAAGAAAAAACCCAGCTTTCAAGAGAAAACACAGTATTTTGCAATTAGAATCAGAAATTCTCAAGGTTTTTACATAATCTAAACCAACACCAACAATTAGAATTATTTTGTAACTTTTAATGCAAATGTTCAGTGCAAAGAATCTAAACCTAAGCTCAAAACATCCTTAAAAGAAATACACAAATTATCAGGCAATTCCTACATCCAAGTATGTACTACATCCAATTATATATATATAATAAAGACTTCTGTCTTTATTACAGTATAAATTTATATTGATTATATTTAGTATTAGATCACCAATGTGAATATCCTGTTGATCCTGCTACACCCTAAAACCTTACTCTTACTGCCTTTAATGTACCTGACCATCAGCTTTGTCTTGGTTGTGGTAATCCATTAGCAATCTTCTAAGATTTCTAGCTTCCAATCAATAGTATCAGTCTTTCTTTTTTTTTTTTTCCCTCCCCTTGGCTATGCCATTTATTTTAGCAAGCACAAATCTTTTTCTTTCTAGACAATTTAGTATACCATGCTTGCGGGCAAAGGTGAAATCCATAAAAGCAAAAATCCACATAAAAACAAAATACAACCTAAGAACAGTTGACCTGTTTTTCTAAGAAATCAAGATGGAGATATACACTACATTATATGACTAATTCCCTACAGAACAGACTTTTTTGATTGTATATAAACCTTCTGTTAAAATCACTGCCTTCTTTCTATAGTTAAGTTACAGCCTGTTCAATCTGTTACCCTATCCAATTTGGTACAGCAACCTGGCAATATAAGCATGCTGTAGCTACCTTATTAATTACACAGGATGGATCAAGAAACAACTTTTTGATAAACGAGCTTGTACAGCAGGGATATGCAATTCATAGCACAGACTTCTGTGCTCAGCTTTGTCACAGCTGATCTGATCTACCACAGCAGCACAGCAACTCACAGCAGAAAGTTGTTTTACCAGGCATTGAAACATGCCCTCTGGGCTACACAGCTGCAGAATAAATTGCCATCAGCTTCCTCCTACCTACTATGCTCTCAGGTCTGTATGCTCAAAGCCTGACTTCACTGCAGTGGGGAAATAAAAACACACATCTATACTACAGAGTAGATACATGGTACAGATACCAAGTGCTGCACATCTCATGTTAGCTCCAGATTTCAGCACAGTACGCACACATGCACACAGAACTACACCAGAACAGCCCAGGGAAAGGAGCTTGGCTGCTATACTGAATTAACATGGTGACACAGCTTGCTGTGTTTGTGTTTCTCCCCTCAGAGCCCAGATTAGCATTATATCAGATAAGAGAAGCATATTCGCATCACAGCCTGACAGACAATGCAGACATGCCTCCTGCAGTTAAATTAAGCAGGTTTAGCATGAGGGATGATGAGGAGGCAACCTGACCAATGTGAGATAGTAAAGTACAGCCAGGTTTCTGGAATTAGAGAAAAAAAAAAAATTAAAGGTTTTATTATCAACAGACCTTTAAAATGCTTTTGGTTGTCTAGTTTACTGCACTAAGGAAGTTTAAAAATCTTTTCTGTAAAAGAAGTTCTAATAGCATGACTCCTTTCAGCCCACTTTTGTGATTTGACAAAGGAATGCCTTCGGGCTTCAAAGGTACCCTTTCCTTCATCAAATTCTGCTCAGCTGTTCCTGAAATATTATGCTTGAAAATTGCCATTTCCATTCTCTCTTTCATGTGACTCAAGAGAATAATGGCTTCTCACCAGAACAGTAATAAGCACAACTATCCTAAGGCACAAAAGCAGCACAGTACCACAGGGAGTGTGTGGGGTGCACCTGGGAGCTGCAGCACAGTAGGAAGAGAGAGGGCAGGGGACCTGCATGGCCTTCCCAACAGTGGCTTACCCAGTATTTGGGCCTTCTTCCACTAAAGCAGAGGTACATCATTGGGCCACTGTTTTCCCCAAATACTAAAGCGATAAGAGACTAAAATGTGGAATAAAGTTTCCTAAAACACCTTTAGCTTTTGCAACAGAGATTCTGATGATCATATCCTGACTGAAAATACCAAATGGAGCATAATGTCTCACATTTCTGGCAGATCAGGCAGAAGACAAAAACGCCCTGTTAATCAGGACCCAGCTGACCATCCACACTAAGAAGCATAAGGACTCTGGTCTCAACTTAGCCTAACGTGATAGTCAGCAGAATCTGCAGCAACACAAAAGGCTCAGCTGAAAGGCTGATGATGAAAGACAGTGAGAGATTCAGTGGCACTCAAAGGAAACTGGTCTCTCTTTCAAAGTATCTCCACCAAAAAAGGTACTCACTACATTAAAAAGCGCCATGTAGTTTGTCAAACAAAGCACTCAGAGGTACTTTGTCACTACTGACAACATACAGTTTGTTCAGGTGTAGTTTTATATTACAAGATTTTTAATTAATGATTAAATGTTATGTCTCAATTAATTATTGCAGACTTCTTGCTCTTCCTTAGGAGTCCTGTCTTATTTAGAGCACAAGATAGATATAGCTTCTGGCAACTTGTAAACATACAGAGCTTGATTTTGCAAACTAAATACCATCCTTTGACCATGGAAAGTTTGGGTGAACCAGGAACATCAGTAAAGTAAAAATTGTGTAATATGACCAAACTATTGCATTAGACACAATGTCATCCAATTTATGCTTTATCCTACTGTTCAGGGTCTTCCCAGTGCCATCCAGTACTGTTGTTCTGTTTGCTGCATCCAGTTATTCTCTTTCATATGTTAGTTTGTTGGCTGTTCCCAAAGAGGCTATTTTGATGTTATGCATTCATATACTACTTAGCACAGTGGAACATTGTTCAGTGATTACAGCCATTAGAGCCTTACTAGTACTACTAAAATAATTAGATACCACACACGTAAGAGGTAGCACACCAATACAGCTCTTAAAAGACTTCCTGGAAGTAATGAGGTATGCAAAACTAATGAGAAAAAAATAACTAGACAAGTTCTTTCAAACTCTTGATAACAAAAAAAATAAATGTTTCTTTTGTGACTGGGCTGTGTTCTTTAAAACACATAGTTTTGTCCACTTTGCTCTATTCATCATTCAGTTAATAGAGTTATGCCCTACAGCTCATGCACACTACCATAATACAAAACACAACAGTATAACACAATTGAATCATCTAACCTCTTAGTAGGATGCCTCCTAAAGCATGGCTTTATGTCTTAAGTCTTTCATGGAACAGATACAATTTTCTCTTTTCATAATGCCATATACACTGTTAAATACATAGTGTGTATGCCTCTGGAACTGTTCCCAGTAATAGCCATTTCTACTTTATTTGCCTCTTCAGGAAAAACATAAATACTTTTGAGAGCAGGAAATACCTACCTGTTCTTCATTCATACCTCAATTTCCTCAGGAAATCAAAATACTGTTTTTAACAGCCTACCTTTAGTTCACAGCTGAATCTGACTTTCACCTCCATGGAATGAAACTTGGTTAGAAGCTTATCAAGGAACTGAATTCATAAATGTCTAGACAATGGCACAAAAATAAAGATATGCTGAGTAGAGCAGTCTGTAGCTCTCAGCAGTGATCAATCTTTTTCTGCTAATACTGTTCTGACTTCAGTCTCTGCATGTTCAAATTCTCTAAACAAAGGAAGCTGTCAAATATTTAACCAATTCAATGACATTACTATTTTTAGATGAAACATGACATCTTTTGAGGTCAGGGTCTTGTGCAGTACCCTCAGCACAGAACAGTGGCTTCAAAAGCATCACTGCTTGACTAAATTTAAACGGAGGCCTTGCATTATTCCCTTTATAAAACTGTAACAATGTAATTATAATCCTGTGAATACAGTGCTGGTCCCACCTGCTGAGCATCCCTTGCTCCTCACCTCTGACTGCAGGCTCTGCACAAGCCATCTGGGGGGAAGAGAAGAGGAGGTAGTCCAGCGAGTGCTGCCCCAAGCCACTGCCTGCTTCATCTGAATCAGTCAAATTTCTATTTTCTTGCCTATTTAGGACAGTAATATTGTGGTGGAAAAAGCTCCCAGATGTCTGTGGAGTCACAGTTGGGAAGGCTCAAAAGAGCATGGGCTCAAGGACACAGAGATGGGCTCAGGCTGAGTGAAAATGCCATTGTCAACACCCTGACTCCTGGGGCTTTACCAGTGCAGCCACCACACCATCTATACAATACACTCTGCAAGTGTACTCCAAGCAAAGCAGCCTGTGACATGCTTAGGGACATTGCTCCCCAGACACCCCAGGGCCAAGCGAGGCCAGACAGCACAGTGCACCAAGCACTGCCTTCACAACATAGTATTAAGAGGGAAAAAATATTAATCCTACTTTCATATCATAAGTTTGTACTATTTATACTTTCTTCATTTAGTTTTCAACAACATTTAGCATTTGATTCAGTCCTATCTAATTAATTAGATATTAATTATATTAATAGTTATTCCAAGACCTTATTGCAAACAAACACAAAGAAATTATTATCAGAAACCTAAACCAGGAAACAGTGAAAGTTAGTGAAAGTATGACAGTCTAATGCTTACAGGCAAACAGCACAACAGGGTATATTTTAGATATGGAAAATACAGTCTGCTGCATCTTTTGCTCACCGTTTGATGACTTCGGTCACAGTAGCGCAGTCCAAAGTAATCTATCTCCACTAGGTTTAAGTGACGAAATACGTAGCCCAGAACAACCAACCCTTTCGTTGATTTCTGTGGGAAAGAATTTACAGAGGCTTTTCACAAAGATGCTTTGCCTTTGTCAGCTATGTGCAGTAGCATTCATGAGTTCTATTAGCTTTGTCTGAAAAAAAACAGGAGGCAGTTCCCAGTGCCTTTAACAAAAACTTCAGCTGTACAGAAGAAAATATTTTGCCTTCACACATGTTTAATCAATCATTCTGGAAATACTATTAGGTAGCTGTCAGGTCAAAAGTTACAAGATACAAAATAAAAAGCGCTCAAGTGTACTTGCATAAGCACGATGCTGCTGAACCCAGCATTTTTCCAGAACAGTTCTGTTCTCTGATCAAAATGCTAATTCCCATGATATATTTTAATTTAAATTTATCTTCTTCCTTTCAGTGTGGGCCTGTCACTCAAATTCTGACAATGAAGATCAGGAAGCAAAATTTTGCCCTTAAGATCTAAATTATACATCATTAGTTGCTCTGCCACTACCCTTTGTAAAGAAGGTTAGGTTTTATTTGTTTTCTTTTAAAATATTTTTAATAGTAGAAGTGGGAGCAATCCAGCACCCTGAATTGAAATAATCCTGTTGATTTCCTGAACAGCATTTCATTAAGGGTTTAAACCAGTATTTGCAAACAATGCTGGGGAAAACATTGAAAGCAAAATTGTACTGTTGAGACTGTCTTATAAAAAGCTCACTTCCACCCGAATGACTCTTACTTGTCAGTTCACCTGCCAATAACACACAGACTAGGAGGACTGAGAAAAATTATGCAGAGTGATCCCCACTCAGAACCAACCAGAACCTTTACTATTACTGCCCTAAATTCCACAAGAGAATATGGATATAACTCATAATTAGTTTTTGGTTACCTGCTTCACATTGTATAAACTGCTAGACTGTAGTAAAATCAATGGAGAGAAAAAATACTCCAAGAGGAAGCTGTGGGATATTGTTTGTGCTATTTCACTTTTTCGCTTACAAGCAGGTAATTTCAAAATTAAAATGTCAAATAATACTGATTTTAAAAGAAATTATCTAATTCAGCTTTGCTGTTGAAGTATCAATCACATAACAACTGTGAAGATGCATTCATTTTTTTTCAGCAGGTATATTCATATGGTCAGGATTTGTACCCAGTTACATGGGCAGGGCCAATACAACAACTTCAGATGGCCACTCAAACTCTAGGCAAGCAAAAACAAAGTAAATATCCCTGGTAGACTGGGAATTGTGGACCCATGCTCTTCAACAGATTTACTGTATATTTGTTTAAATCAGGAGATGTTCTTGAAATATTCTCAGCATGAAACAGTCTAAAGCCACCATACAGATTTTTTACACTCAGCAACTGTAGCTACACATTCCCCCAGCATATACAGTGAGACTTAACAATCAGCCACAAAACAGAAAATCATTTTGGGAAAAAACATGATTAAAGTGAGCAGCAATTCACAAGATCTCATTTTAGCATTTTGGATAAAGCACAGCAATACAGTGATTTTATCAAAAGTGATTTTATCATCAGATCCATCCACAAGAAAATGAACTTGGGTCATATGAACATAAGGGACAAGAAACAGCCCCTCATAGCTACAAAGTGACTATCAGGAGCACCACAGCAAAAACACAAAAAAAAAAAAAAAACCAAACAAAAAAAACCCCAAACAACAAAACATACCTTAAAAAAATGCATTAAATTATTAAATTATTAGATAGCAGGGATTCAAGAGTGAATCAGTAATTGTCTTGCCTCATTTTATCTTTAAACCAGTTGTTATTCAAAGATGCAGAAGAGATGCCCCACTGAAAAGCACAGTTATCTCATGATTCATATGCCATAAGGCAAATTACCTTTATCACTGGAACCATTTCTATTATCATTTAAACATTGCAGCGTTTTAGGAACCTAGGTTTGGACAGGCGTCTGTAGGAAAAGACACAACAAAAGCTCAAAATAAACAAGCAGCCCTGACTACAAACAACCCGCACAGATGAATGATGGCACCAGTTTCAAATGGATACTGAAAGTAAAAAGCTCACTTTCTGTACAGACAGAAGGAGCTCCACCATCAGCTGTGCAGAGGCCCAGGGTTTTGACACAGCTAACCAAAATGTGATTAGTAAACCCTTGCAAAAGACATAAAAGGGATTGTCTGAACCATGGCCTACAGGGTACATGGACTGGTCTCCATAAAAGGCATGCTGAGCTTCTGTGATCCTGAAGCTCAAATCTGTTTGTTTTCAATAAGCTTTCTACTCTTTGACTGACCAGTAATGCTCTTGATAGCACCAGTTTAGCTTTACCAGAACTGTGAAACAGTGGCAAAGATGAAGCTGTCAATTTTCCATTCAAGCATCTTTCAATACTAATGCACAATCCTGGAAGTAATCAAAGATACTAACTTATGTTTTACAGGAGTTTAACTTGCATAAATCTGTCCCAGTTTAGGATTTGTCTAGCCTCCTCAGTTGTAAGTCATCTTCTTCAGTCAGCTGAGGACCGCAGTGGGCTTTACACAGAAAGCCTTGGGTGAACTTTCCTCCCATGAAGGCTAAAGCGACTGTTATCCCTAAGAAACACACATTTCATAGCCGGTTTGGCTGAAAATTAAAGACTCCCTTCTTTCCTTTCAGAGATAAATGGTAACAGTGCATAACTGGCTTTTTACCAGACGGTATCCAACACTCCTCTAACCTCACCTTCCTTAATCTCCTGTTTTATCAGGACTGAGAAATGCTCTTCAGGTAAACACTGACTCTTGCTGAACTACTGCAACCTCATTTTAAATTAAAGTTCTCATTTTAAACCCCATGACATCGGGTTTCATGCAAGCAAACTGGCCCTTGAAATGCAGTTAAGAAAGCAGCTGTGCTGACAAATCCCTAACTGGCTACTTCTCAGTGTTTACTGCATTTGAAGAAATTTGCTAAGAAAAGCCATGTTATTTCCCCTGATAAAATTACAGTAAAATTCAGCAAAACTGCTGTCGTGGTTTAAACCCAGTCAGGCAACTCATTCACTCACTCTCCCCCTTCCTGCCCTCCCCCTACTCCCAGGGGACGGAGGGGAGAACCAAAAAGAATGTAACAAGGGAAGAGAATATGACATCTCACCACCAGCTGACTGATAACTCACCCCCCCAGCCCAACCAAGCTCTGACCGATACCTCCTCCAACCCTGCAGTCTACCAGCCCTTCCGGCCAACTCCCAGTTACCTCCTGGGTGCTGTGGTATGGAATACCTCTTTGGCTAGCTTGGGTCAGGTGTCCTGCCTCTGCTTCCTCCCGGCTTCCCCTCCTCCCTGGCAGAGCATGAGGCTCATAAAGTCCTTGGCCAAACCAAAACATCATTGTTATCAGCTCTGTTCCAGAGCTGAAAGTCAAAACACAGCACTGCACCGGCTACCAAGAAGGAGAAAAATGACTGCTACTGCTGAAGCCAGGACAACTGCAAACTAAAACTATCAAAGATGTTAACAGGATTTTAAGCAATCCAGGAGGTTCCTAAGCAATCCAGGACGTTCCTCGATTGTGTAGAAGACAACTTCCTTCTGCAAGTAATAGAGGAGCTGACAAGGAGAGGTGCCATGCTTGACCTTGTGCTCACCAACAGGGAAGGGCTCGTTGGAAATGTGAGTCTCCAGGGCAGCCTTGGATGCAGCAATCATGAGATGCTCGAATTTGAGATCCTCAGGACAGTGAGAAGAGCGTGCAGCAAGCTCACTGCCCTGGACTTCAAAAGAGCAGACTTTGGATTCTTCAGGAACCTGCTTCGGAAGGTTCCATGGGATACAGCTCTAGAGGGTAGAGGCCCCAAGACTGTTCATTGATATTCAAGGATCACCTGCTGCAAGCTCAGGAGTGTTGCATCCCAACCAGAAGGAAGTGCAGCAGGAGGGCCAGGAGACCTCCTTGGATGGATAAGGAGCTGCTGAGGAAACTTTGAAGGAAAAAAGAGGCTTATAAAAGGTGGAAGCAAGGACAGGTGGCATGGGAAGAGTACAGGGATGTTGTCCAAGAAGACAGCGACCAGGTTAGGAAAGCTAAGGCCCAGTTAGAATTAAACTCAGCTAGAAGTATTAAAGATATCAGGAAGGGATTCTACAGGTACATAGCAAATAAAAAACAGACTAGGGAGGACACAGGCCCCCTCAGGAAGCTCTCAGGAGAACTGGCTACACAGGATTTGAAGAAGGCTGAGGTTCTGAAGGACTTCTTTGCCTCGGTCTTCACTGGCAAAGGCTCTGACCAAACCACCCAAGTCTTGGAAGGCAGATGCAGGGACTGTGAGAATGAAGACCTTGCGCCCACTGTAGGAGAGGAACTGGTTCGAGACCATCTTAAAAATCTGAACATGCACAAGTCCATGGGTCCTGATAAAATCCATCCACGGGTCCTGAAGGAGCTGGCAAATGAAGTTGCGAAGCCGCTGGCCATCACATTTGAGAAATCATGGCAGTCAGGTGAAGTTCCCGATGACTGGAAAAAGGGAAATATAACCCCCATTTTCAAGAAGGGGAAAATGGATGACCCGGGGAATTACAGACCAGCCAGTCTCACCTCTGTGCCTGGCAAAATCTTGGAGCAGATTCTCCTGGAAGGCATGCTAAGGCACATGAAAATCAACAAGGTGCTTGGTGACAGCCAGCATGGCTTCACTAAGGGGAAATCCTGCCTGACCAATGTGGAGGCCTTCTATGATGGGGCTACAGAACTGATGGAAAAAGGTAGAGCAGTTGATGTCATCTACCTGGACTTGTGTAAAGCGTTCAACAATGTCTCACACGACATCCATGTCTCTAAATTGGAGAGACATCAATTTGATGGATGGACCACTCGGTGCATAAAGAACTGGCTGGATAGCTGCACGCAAAGAGTTGTGGTCAATGGCTCAATGTCCGGCTGGAGACCAGTAACGAGTGGTGTCCCTCAGGGATCGGTGTTGGGACCGGTCTTGTTTAACATCTTCGTCACTGACATGGACAGTGGGATTGAGTGTGCCCTCAGAAAGTTTGCC